GGCTGAGGCGGCGGCTTCTCAGCGGCCAGCCTCGCGCGCGCCGAGACGATGCCGGACCAGATCTCCGTGTCGGAATTCGTGGCCGAGACCCATGAGGACTACAAGGCGCCCACGGCCTCCAGCTTCACCACCCGCACGGCCCAGTGCCGGAACACGGTGGCGGCCATCGAGGAGGTGAGCAGCGGTGGCGGCGGGCGGGCGGCTGCGGCCGCAGGTACTGCGGCGCCGCGCCCCCGGCAGGCTCCCAGCCCGCGGCGGCCCGCGCCCACTGCCCGCGCTCTCGCGTCCGCATCCCGGGAAAAGTTTCTTTTCCTCCAAAGCCGGACACGGCCGGCTTAGCTATGCCCGAAACAGAAGCCCTTTGTTCCCATGTAGGTGGCTCCGAGGAGATGGTTGATGGCCACCTTGGGCCTTTTTAAGAACCCCCATCTCCGGATCTGTTTCCCTCCCGAGATTCCCCGGCCCGGTCCACCTCCCCCGCCAGCCCCAGCTCCGCCAACTTCAGCCCGAGAGTCGGGGTCCGCGGCGGCAAGCGGGGTTTACCCGCACCCTCCGCGGCCCGGGGTCTTTGGTCCCCGGCGCCGACCTCCCCAACTTGTCTGGAAGTGGCCTGGCGGGGGGACTTGTGTGCTCCGAGACCCCGCTGCAGACCCGGAGCCCCGCATCGCGTGACCCTCGTGTTGGTCCAAGGGATCCCGGGCTGCTGCGGAAGGTGTGCCCACCTTAGCCGGGGAGGCCTGGCTGTATTCCCATAGTCCCCGGAGAGAGGAGTGCAGGCAAGGTGTGTGGAGAGCCGGTGCTTTTAGGTCCAAAGGGCCTAGAGTAGCCGCTCCCCAGTTACCTGTGCCTTACTCGCTTGAACCCTGAACGCCTCCCTTCCCCCTCAACCTGGAAAAGGCCTAATTTTAGTAAAATGCTTTCAAGGTGCAAAGTCATCATGTCTAGCTGCTAACCAGTAAGCTTTCCAGTTCCTGGGGAGAGGGAGCACTTAGGAATGGAGAAGCTGAGGCTGAAAATTAAAGCAGCTTGTAGCACCAGGAGAGACAGAGTCTGAGGCCAGGGGCCCCCTTGGCTGTGATGTGGGGCAGATCCTCACCTCCGTCCTCATTTTCCTTATCTACCAAATGGGATTAGAGATGCATCCTTTTCAGGATCAGAGACCTTGTGAATCAACTGCTTAGCACTCTGCTTGGCTCATAATAGGTAACTGGTTTACATACCACACGTGTGGCAGTTGTAATAGATGATTAAATGTCTTTTGGACGGAATGTCAAGTTACACACTTAAAATTGGGCATTGTAGGTATTTTAGAAGAAAATGCCTGGGCTAGAGTGAGGGAAGGCTACCAAAGAGCTTTAAATTAAGCAGTGGCCTTGCCTTTTTTTTTTTTTTTTTTTTTTGGTCCATTCAAACAAAGCATCTGCTGTTAGGAATTGCTTGGGAAAGAAGTCTAGAATGTTTTTCCTTAATGGAAAAATTTTTCTTTGTAGACATAAACAATCAGTAATAGGCTAAATCAAAAGTAACAAATTCAGCATTCTGAATATTGTTAAGCCAGGTATTTTTTCTTCCTTCTTTTTTTTGGGGGGGGGAGACAATAACTGTATGTAAGTTTTTTTAGTGAGTTAAGTGAATCCCAGATCACTTAATTCTACTTTTAACAGCAAGGCTTAACAAGGAAACCTTCAAATGAGGCAGATGGAGATTGGTGTATGAAGTTTTTCCCGAAGTGCCAGTTTAAAAGCAGGAGGAAAATATTCACAGTGTTTTGAAACTGCACTATTAATAATGTTTATGGAATGGTTGTAATCAAAAAGGTAGCTGAATATTTCTTAAGGGAAGAAAGCTTTGTACATGATGTCTTTAAAAAAAAAGCTTGATTGTGTTTAAACTTCTGTTACTTTTCCCTGCTGCAATTTGTCAGTTAAATACTATTAACATTGGCAGATGTTGGAAACCCAGGCAAATAGAAATTGCAATTAAAATTGGCATACCCTTTCTCTGATTAATTTTGGTTTACAGTGTATAATTCCAAACCTGTTTTTGTATGCAGTGCAGGAGATTACTCAAGAGCTCAGTTACTGAGCAGATTAAAAAGAGACAGGATTTGGTCATTTTGTTAAATTGCAAGCTTGCTTCATGTTGCCATCAAAGAACAAGAATTGGTTCACATCTCAAAAATGGAAAAATTAAAATTATGTCAGATTTATCTAATTTTAAGCAAATCCAGAATATATGCTATGATGGTGGTATGTGTGAACTTGGACTTATAAATTTGAAAGTTATTTACCTTCTTAATCAGTGAGTATTCCTGTAAAATTACTCTTTTCAAGCGTGTTTGATGTTCCATTTCATTATCAAAACTTGTTCTATGTGTGGTTTAATAACAAATGATGCCCACAGTATTTTGATTTTAAACAACACATGTACTTTTCACACTGAAACAAGATACGAGAATGGGCATTGTGCCACAAAGATATTCATTTAACAGAAATAAATTTGCAAGCCTTTGGTCCTGTGTTTATACAAATAAGTCGTGGAATTAGTAAACTAAGTTTAAATTCACTCACCTTTGGGAATCTGTTCTTTCCAATGTAGATTATGTTTGCCAGAAATAATTTTATAACTGAAATGTACCATGTAGATTTGCACACCTATAGCTGGAATATTAGTAACTTCCAGTCCCTACCCTTTACTGTGGACCTCAGATCTGTTGTATTTAGTCCTCATCCCGGCTTTATAGGTGAAGAAACGGAGGCTCAGAGAGGTTAAGCAATTTGCTCATGGATATAGAGCTAGTAAAATAGAATTTGAACTTGGCTTCAGTCTGTTTTCAAAAGCTATTCTACTTCCTGTTACTTATAATAATGCTAAATCCTCTAAATTACGTCATCAGACTGACCAGGGTTCAAGTTCAAGACTCCTACCACTTGCCAGAGGTATTAGAGAACCAGAGAACTTAGGTGAGATGCCTAATGTTTTCTCATTTTCCTCAACTTTAAGGTCTAGATAACAATGCTTGTCTGCTTTAAAGGATAGTGGTGAGGGTTTAGTGAGATAATTCGTAGCACAGTATCTAACAGAAAATTGGTCACCAAATTGTTTAGGAAGTTAATCCACAGACACCCTCTCTTAGAGAGAGGATGAGATTTACTTTGAAGGGAGAGTAGGAGAATGGCTGAATGAGTTAAGTGAATTAAAAACTTCTACATACCTATTAACCCATGTTTATTTTTTTAGCTAGTTTATTGTTCCAGCAGCAGGTGAGACCATAGTAGTGTTTAAAAATTTTTATTTTGTGACCACTTTCTCTGGTTGTTTTGCACAATTTTAGCAAACTTAGCAAAGTCTGGTGCTGTAACTGGAGTCTGCCCTGTGCTTTTGGGAATAATGGAAAAAATAAGTAGTTGTGGCATAAATCTGAAGAGTGAGTTTTTGTTTTTTTTTTTTCCTTTTGGTTTCTTTGAGTCTCTGGGCACTTGGAACTATTCTCAAAATAAGGAAAAATTGTATATGTACATGGAATGGTCATGTTTTTAGTTAGATCCTTCTTTACAGCTCTGTCCATTCTATTCTGTTTTGCTTCTTTGGCATTGATGTAGTTTTAAAAATAAATTTGATGTTGACTTGTAAGTATTAAAATTTAATCTGCTTCCTTCCGGGCCATAATTCTCTGCTCTGTTGTCCTTGGTTACCTTGGAAATCTCATTGCTGTCACAAGCACAGAGTTCTGACTGCAGGGTGGGGTGAGCATCTGGGGTTGTGGACTCCCAGGGGCCCTGCTGTCCATGGGGCCAGACCCCTCCCAGCAGTTGCAGCGGGAACCAGGCCTGCGTGCTTTTTAGGCAGGAATGTGATTCTGAATCTTAGCCCTTTGTGATTTGTTTGAAAAACAGCCCCTCATCCCAGATTTTTTTTTTTTTTTTGCAGTTTTTGGCCGGGGCTGGGTTTGAACCTGCCACCTCTGGTATATGGGGCCGGCGCTCTACTCCTTGAGCCTCAGGTACCACCCCAGCCCCTCATCCCAGATTAGCAAATTTTGGATCTGTTGTCAGAAGGACATTACCTTCTTGCTCAGTTCATTTGGAAGTGATCCCTTATGGGTTGAACAGGTTACCCTTTTGAAAGGGTGTGTTCTGAAATCTGAATTTATGTTTTTGAAAAAGTTTGAATCAGTTAAGGAGGGAACAATCTACTATTCTTATGTATATTCTCTGCAGCACTCTCCCCCCATCTCCCTGAATTTAATTTCTCTCTTAGGATTAATAGTAAAAGTATTAGTACTCTTCCTCGTGGGTTCCAGGACCCGCTGTTCATTTAGGATTTATTGAGTCTTTGAGGGTGCTAGGTGACGTATTAGGTGGTGGGTGTAGAACAGCAAGAGGAGTATGTTTTCTTTTTAAAACAACCTATAGTCCAGTGGGAGAGACAGACATCTTGTAAACAAACCATTACAATAAATAACAGGTTGTGAGGACTTGTCTGTAAGAACGCCCAGGATCGTGTGGCCACTTAAAGGTCGGGGTTGGTTAGGAAGGGCCCTGTGTGATGTGTGATTGAGCCTAGAACTCGAGGTAGTCATCTGTGGGTTACCACATGCTGTAGTCAGTAAAGGGGTTCATTATGGTCTCCTGTACTAGCATCCCTGCCTTAGGCAAATATTTACCCACTTCTGAGGTGGGGCCAACTATGCCTCTGTTGAAGGATTTTCACAGTCATCAATCTGAAGAGGTCTCCTTAGACCCAGACTTTGGAGACACTGTGATTCTTCCCATACAGCTCATACTTCCAGGCACAGGTGCCAGCCTTTCTGGAGCACTTACATTCCAGACCTGCGCTGTCCAATATGGTAGCCTAAGATGAAAATTCCTCTCCTTCAGCCATACTAGCTGCATCTCAAGTGCTCAGTAGCCATGTGTGGCTTGTGGCTACTGTGCTGGGTCTCAGACAAGCAGCATAGGCATCACCTGAAGCTTGTTAGAAATTTGCAGCCTCAGATCCCACCCTAGACTTGCTGAATCAGAGCCTGAATTTTATAGGATGCCCAGGTATATTACAGGCACTGTTCTAGACCTGGAACTTGGCCTCGTGTTGGAGTTGCTGAGGGCATTGTAGAATGGGAGTGTCTGGCCCCACTCCCAAAAATTTAGTTTAATTGGTTTGGGTGGGGCCTG